TTTTCTCTCACTGAATGTTAGATTTTGCCTCTTTTGGAGGATGTCATCTGAAAAAATAATTGCCACAGAAGCCGCATGGTCTTCTTACTTCAAAGTCTGCCAGAATAACGGTGGCAGATCACTCATAATGAACGGCCTTTCCGAAGCAAGCATTCATTCCGAGTGCAATGCTCTCGTAGACCCTCGAGCGTGGATACCAGAAATTATTTCCGGCAAATAACCAAGCGTGACGTGTTTTCCTTCTCAGTGGAGACGTACGTATACCACGTATGCCTAACCCGCGCTCAAACGTTGGGGCTTTTACCAGGACGCCCAAGTGGGGAACGATCGCCGCTCTTACCTTCGCAATGCGGATTCGGAGACCAGTGCTACACGTGACGCAACGGTGACAATGCCGCTATAGTCGACTGATCGGCCCAGCGTAGCGGAGTAGAGCTCGGGGCCCTACTAGGCCCTAAGTGAAAAGGCGCGGTCGACCGACGGCATGCTGCCGCCGCTACGCTCCATGCTCCGCGGCGCGCGGTCGACTGCTGAACAAAAAAAAAAAAAAAAAGAAATAATAAAACCGCGTGCACGCCGCGCACTCACGGATTCTTCCCGATTCCTTGCGGACGCGATCTCGAGTAGCGATAACGAGCTGCGTTCGCTTACGTGCGCGAGTACGTCGACGATTGGGGACAGTGGCCACGGCCAGAAGGATTAAATGAAATCCCGTTGCCCGAGGATCCGCGCACGACGACGGAAAAGGAAGAGCGCACGCCGTTCTCGGCCTTTCTCCGCGCGTTGGGCTGCTTTTTTTGTCCGCCGTCGTCCGCACCCTACAGTGACGCGTGAGCGACCTTATTCCGGGCGAGGACGCTTCGGCCACGCCAAAGATCACGGCACCGCCGGAGATGAGGAGGATGCGTGCTCGGAAAAAGCGCTTCTGCTGAATACCGGGAATGGCTATCAGTCGGCGGAAAAGCGAGGAAAGATACTGGCAGAGCGCCGGGCAGCCGCCATCATATCGACGACTGCAATTTACACTCCGCGTGTGTCTCGCTGTGGCTGCTTCCTTCTTTCTTTCCTCGCACGACGTGGCCACCGCTGTCGTGAGGCCATTCATTAGCAGAGCACGTCCGGGCACTGCGCACTCCTTCGGTGCCCACACTCGCTTCGTACGCGTGGCCCGCACGCAACCTGGACGACCCAAATGTTCGGCCCTTTCGTCTCGGCGACCGGTATCGCTAATCGGTCCTGAAAAACTTTCCCATAAGCCCGCGTAAGAGCACCACAAACTTGGTATGATATACCGATCGATTCGAGGATGCTGCGAGATATACATGCGCCGGTCCGGAGTACGTTTGCGGGTTTCACCCAATCGTATACAGATGCCGAAAGTGCACGGCCAGTTATTCTCGACAATCAGCTGCGTACAAGGCCAACGTATGAGGCCTTGCACACGCTTAACGCAGCAAGTACCTGCATCGTTCACGCAGTAATATGAACGTAAACTAAAATGTAGAAAGGTATGCGAAAGAAATTTGTTCTCAGCTTCCTTCGCTATTAATTTAGCCCTGCAGTGTAAATAGCTATAAGCTTGTCTTGCACAAAACGATGTTTATGTCGAAAGCTTCACAACCACTATTAATATCATGTTTCCAGGAAATATAAAAATATATGCTCCGTATGTCTGTGACAAACTACGCATTCATATGCGCATATATCTTAAGTTCGCCTGTTTATTATTGTACGCCCAACCACTGGACCACTGGACGTTCGTTTTATTGCTTGGTATAACAGCTTCTTTGGCCCGCAGTATAGAATCGGGTAGTTTCAAATCTGCAGAGCTTGCAAATCCTGACAAAAACGATATATATATATATATATATATATATATATATATATATATATATATATATATATATATATATATATATATATATATATATATATATAAGCGAAACAAGTGTACACTTAAGGGCTCGTTTTTCGTGTTTTACACAATATTAACGGGATCTAACAGAAAATAATGCCAAGGAAAGTATAGGGGAAGTTATTAGGGCAATTGTAATGTAAATGAGAAGAAAGAAAAGTGGGTGAAAAGATAACTTGCTGTGGGAAGGATCCGAACCTGCGACCTTCGAATAACGCGTTCGATGCTCTACCACTTGAGCTACCACGACAGCCATCCTCCCAGCCACTTTATTGGGTATCTATGTCAATTTAAACGTGGGAGTGTCAGTCAGCGCCACTAGTAGCCATGGCGGAGAGTGTGGCACACTCTTTATGAGCCTGTTTGGCGTCACGTAGCACGTGAACTTATTACTAACTGGCAGCTGACCAATAGTCCCCCGTATACAACCTAAAAGCACCAAATCTGCCAGTACGAGACCCTCGTTAATGAATAAGGGAAACAAGTGTATACTTAAGGGCTGGTTTTTCGTGTTTTACACAATACTAACGAGATCTAACAGAAAATAATGCCAAAGAAGGTAAAGGGGAAGTTATATATATATATATATATATATATATATATATATATATATATATATATATATATATATATATATATATATATATATATATATATATATATATATATATATATATATATATATAAGGGAGAGAAGTGTATACCTAAGGGCTCGTATTTCCGTGTTTTAACACAATATTAATGAGATATAACAGACAGTAATGCCAAGGAATGTACAGGGGAAGTTATTAGAACCAATGGAATGTAAATAAGAAGAAAGAAGAAAGAAAAGTGGATGAAAAAATTACCAGCTGTGAGCAGGAATCTAACCCGAAGGTCGTGGGTTCGATTCCTGCTCACAGCTGGTAATTTTTTCATCCACTTTTCTTTCTTCTTTCTTCTTATTTACATTCCATTGGTTCTAATAACTTCCCCTGTACATTCCTTGGCATTACTGTCTGTTATATCTCATATATATATATATATATATATATATATATATATATATATATATATATATATCTTGCAATAAAAGTAAAGGCTAATAGGGAACTAAAGCTATACCAGGAAATATACCATCATGATTCGATTACACATTTGCTTCATCAATGCTTCTCGCTAGTGCAAGTTTTGCATGTTATCATTTCATTTACTTGAGAAGGTGATGTAACGATAGTGAAAATAAATTGGGAGAAGGAGAGAAGCGGACGCTGCGTATCACATATGTAGTCCAACAGTGATTGATTCTAATAATAAAACTTTTTGGGGTTTGACGTCCCAAAATCACAATATGAGAGTGGTTGATTCTACCATGAAAATGAGTGAGAAAAGGCTGATGCTCACTTCTTCATTTTATTATAAGGCCTGTAGCTTTAAAATTTTTACTTAACCTACTGGTACTTTTGAAATATGTTGGTTTATTACTATACATGGTTTTCACATAATCCTGTCCGTATTTCTGTGCTGAGTTTTACCCTGAAGTGGGTATCAGATGGCGTGGGAAAGAATATTGCCTAGTTTACGCCCCCGACCTCAATCTGATAAAAAAGATTATGTTACCATGCTCGTCAGCAATTACTCGTCACGAAAAGCTACGCTTAATTACACACCATGATCACGTACGGAACCAACACGATCATGCACAACACTGTAGTTCCAGGATTCTGTATTGCTTTCACTAAATGACACTTTGTGTTGGCAAATAAAAAAATACAAAAAAGAAGAACCGACGAACACGCACCGGTGTCCGTCAGTCCTTGTTTGTCGCTCGCAACGAAGAGGATTATTGCATAAAATATTTGTAACTGAGGTGAAAACTCCGCCACCAAAGCGCACTAACTTGAACCAACCAACACGACACTGAAAAGATGTGTGGGAGCGAAACACCCACACGCGCGAAGGAGTCGTCCTAAACATATGGCACCAAGAAATTTTCTCCTAAACGTCACATGTTCGCTCTCTTTGGGAAGGTATTTTGTAGCGATGCCTTTTTCAGATGGCCTTTTCGCGGTCTCCGCGCTTGGCTATTGGTCAGAGCTAGAGTTAGCCCACTCTAATAATGGGATCAGTCAGTCGTGTGCGTTGGAGACTCGCACAGAATTGATTAATTCGCATCGCTACAAAATACCTGCCCTTTTTCTAACTCTAGTTCGTTATTGAAAAACTCAATATAGCCGTAAGCGGATTGTATAGAAAAAAAAAAGTATTTCATTTTCACTTTTTTTAACACTTGAAAGGTATGTCAGCGTGAGTGGATATATATTTTTTATGCTTCTGATTTTAATGTAGTCAATTTACCTGGACTAGTTGGTTGAACTGCATATTCGAATGGTAGCGCAAACCACATACGGAACACCCAAGGCCACTTCTTACTGTTTCGCATACTAGGTATATTATCTGCTGGTATTTATATTTTTTCGTTGATGAAGATTAGTCGCTAGTTGAGAGCCAAGGGGTGATCGAGGTTACTTCGTTGTGTTCTCTTTGATGTCAAAGCTGCTGTTAGAACTGCTCTTTTCTTGGCGTGCATGTACATACATGTCAAGCGTATACGTGCTTCTAAAATGGGAAAAGTTACTCTACAAGCTGTGGAAAAAAAGCTCATTTACAACTAAAAAAATATTGCGCCGCGTTAAAAGCATTCCGCTTTCAATCCCGGCATAAACTGCAGTGAAAATGGGTCAGCGTGAAGCGCTAGACGAGCGAAAAATATTGCCACAAAAGTTGAGACGCGAGCCCAGGCATCGCACCACTTTGTGGATCACTTTCTTTTTTTTTCTTTTTTTAGTGGGAGTGGTTGCTATGCAACAGCGATGAAATTTTGCATGTGTTAAGATTAGCAGTGTCAAGCATCCTTAAGAGTGGAGTATCCATATTCTTCGCCTTTTTTTTAAGAATGCTTATGAAAAGTATCACATGCAATAGATTTGCGACTACATAGGATCAATGAGAAGTACAGTGACATCACCTCGGTGCACCGAATTAAAGTTTAGAACAGGGAACTAACTTTTTGCGGCATTTGCGAAGGCACGTGCCGCATACTCACTTTTTAGCGCCCATGCCTTGAGGTCCTTGACACCCATCATGTTCTTGAAATATGCCATTTGGCAGTCGCTAGAAATTCCAGACTCGTGTCCCATGCGGATCATGAGAGGCAGGATCCTCTTGAGCGCTTCGGCCATCATTTTGCGGCCGTCGGCCTCCTGGGTGCGGACCGCATGCACGAAACGGTCGTACTCGGACGTCGAGGTCAGTGCAGGTTCTGTCGTCGTGACGGACTCCTCCATGTCTTCAGCTTCCGCTGTTACTCTGGACCACTCTTCCGGAGCCGAAGCAGCCATCGCTGACTCAATCGCCGTAACGCGGTGACCTTCGATGCACAGTAGAATGGATAGGAGCAGCGCAATATTTGCCATGGTGACAAATTAATGGCACTTTTCAGCTAGAACCACGGCGGCGTTGCCAAAGCCTATAAAGGCGACCACGACCGAGCCATAGACTGCAGCACGCGACGAGATATCTTGCGCGGTTCTCGAAAAAAAAGGCGTTGCAGTTTCTGCTAATACGAAGACTTGTCGCGTGAATGATTCCTGCCGTTTCTCTCCGAGCAGGGGCCGGAAGGACGAATGCTTCGGAGGGCTGTCAATATTTCTGTCCGCGATTCGCTTACGCGCGCTTGAATCTGAGTGGTGAAAGTTTATGTTCGTCGTGCTGTTGGAAAGAACGGAGCCTTTAACAGTCCCCCGAATTGTGGCGATTCGCTTCTTGGCATAGGTCGCTGGAGCGGTCGAGCGAGGGTCGTATACGAGGAAGGCCTCTCCACATGCTGCTCTCCTTTCCTTTCTCCATCAGCCGTGCGTTTGTTTCTCAGAGAGAGCCATTGGCCTGCGACGCTGTTTTGGAAGCCGGGAAACACCATGTGTCTGGTTTGTGTGTTGTTTTGAGAGAGAAGAGAGATAAATGTGTCATGGGAAGGGGGGAATCGGAGCGTCCGCAGCCCAGCAGCCGGGCTCGTTCCAGCGGCGGGTCTCTCTATGGACGCCGTGTCCCGGTCTAATGCCAGTTTGTTGCTGGCCGCATGAGGAAGAGTGGATCAGGCAAATACCCCTTCTGTGAACGCTCGCTCCGCATCGCGAGGACCTGCTGCCGAGCATGCCACTGGACGGCACGCCGAGCCACTGCAGTCACAGTGAAAGGAAAACGCACTGCTCCTGAGAAAGTGGCGAGCGTGTGTCGTGCCACTGCGAAAACCGTGGCTTCTATCTAGAATGGCACGGCGTTCTTTCGGTGGGTACGTGGATCTGACCTTCCTGCAAAAATGCTCACAACGTTTGCTTGGCGGAACTGCCCACGATGCCCCAAGCACCAAGCTGCTGCTGCCTTTATTCCGGAATTACCATTTTGCCACTGCGTAGTTTGAACTTTATCGCGGGCATGCCCAATGATTTGCACAGCACAGTCAGACATCTCTACACGCGCGAGCAGCATTACTTTCGTGAAATTTTCACTCGTCCTACGTATTCCAGGCTCCTTAGACCTCATCAAGCTCACCTAAGGGAACTTCAAATCATATTGGCGCATTAAGCTAGCATCGCCGCAAAGTTTATTTATTTATTTATTTTAAATAACTCAATAACCCTGCACACAGGGCTTTAGATCAGAGATGGGTAAAAAAATGCAAGTTTGTTGATGTTGACAACAAAATGTCTCATTGGTGGTGTTGAAGTGAACGGGGTTGACATAAACGAAAATCGTCACAGTCTCGGTATTGATAAAAAATCATTGCGTGTGTGAGGTTGTGTGAATACCAGGAGAATATACAGCTTTAACCTGGCTGATTTGTTGAGAAATTCAATGAGCTGGATTGATAAAACAGCGATTAGGCAAAACACGCAAATAAAATTACGATATAATAAAAGCCTCGCGATTGTTTTTTGTAAATTTGTAGACTTGCTGTCAGTTTAAGAATAATCAGAATGTACAAATCTAGCTGCACGGTTTGGTGTCGGTTCAGTGAGATCGGTTAAAACGCGTCCAGGAAGATCCCAAGGAGGGTTATCATATTCTGATTTGGGTCGTGTTGATTGTAGGCTAGTAATTTTACCGAAGGGGAGGCATGTGGAAGATTCGCTTGAGGCAACCTAAATTATCGATAGCGTCGTTAGTAATCTTGACTATATGCGTTTCTCACGTCAGGTCGATGGAAAGAATAATGCATATTATAAGTACTGATCAAGGCTTGGTATAGTGACATTGTGACCGCTAAGAGAGTACTTAAATTCTGGATACTCGCGGCGCCTATGAAAGGAAACCAAGCACGATTTGTTGGTATTCGAAAGTGTTCATAAGCCATTGCACCATTGACCCAACTTCACTAAATTGTTTTGGAGTGCCAGCTTATCGGTCGCGTCAATGCTTAGGCGATAAGTTACGCAGTAAGAGATAAATTAAGGTAAATAACGCTGAAAAGTGCGAGAAGTTAGGAAGATACGCGAGCATGTACTACAGGTGTCTAATAGCCGCGGCCTTTGATATCAAACTAAGGTGTGACACTTGCGTCAGTGAACCGTCCGTCACGCTATGAGCAAAAAGAGTTCAGCTATCTCGAATGTACCCCACCCACTTGTTTTTTCCATTGCGTTGAGGCAATAAAACCTTCAGTTGTTAGCGTTTTTTCTAGCCGTGCCTTCGGTGTGGTATCTACTTCGCGCTGTTCTTACCTTTTACAAAATGCGACCAGCCATTTCAACGAAGAGCGCTTTTGAGTTATAGTATGAATGTCATGAGCAAAAAGCGCAAGTTGAGTTTCACATGAGCAGAATTTTAGAAATATATGTTGAATTAGGCTGAAAAAGTCAATGAAATATTCAAATCACCTCCCAGTCAATAGAGTTTTTTTGGCGAGTGATGGTCACTGAAATGTGCGGCCCCAGTGCTTATCACTGCCTTGATCCCAAGTCTTCACTTACGGCTTCCTCAATCATTGCTGACGTTAGTGCATAAATCTTCACTGCATGCCTATACGGGCAGAGTGCTCCCTCCTTTATTTTAAGGGGAGCAGGAGTGGGTGAGCAGTGGGATTCGCCCGATATCATTGGCACATAAGCTTTTGCTTGTGGACGACTTCTTAATTTTCAGTGGACGAGTGGTAGTAGCGGGGATAGCCAAGGTTCTGCGTACATAGGACGAACGAATTCTGGTTCCCCCTAGTCGTAGACCATTTCACCGTAATCGCACTTTCAGGAATGTTCCAGTAGACGCCAATACGTAAAATTGAGCGGTACTTGAAGTTGGGGAGGAAGAGAGGGCTGCTTTTTTAGGAACTGGAACATTCTTCCCCCACTTCGTATTGAAAGGCAGCGCGCTGCGTGAGTGACAATGAGTTGAAAAATATGAGACATTGTAAGATAACTCCTCTGTGTTTAGCGTTTTTCAACACTTCTGCGATGATACTGTCCGGACAAATAGATAAACTCAGCTTTAATGAATAATTTGATTGATTGATATGTGGGGTTGAACGTCTCAAAACCACCACATTATGAGAGATGCCATATGGAGGGCTCCGGAAATTTTCACCACCTGGGGTTCTTGAACGTGCCCCTAAATCTAAGCACATGGGCCTCAAGCATTTTCGCCTCCATCGAAAATGCAGCCGCCGCAGCCGGGATTCCACCATGTTTAATGAATAATTTACTTTGGCAGTAGCTTCGGGAGAAAATTGGGAGAATTATGACCTTGGAATAGCCAGGTGTTGCATGTAGGGCCATTAATAATCTGACAACACCAACTCTGCACTTACACGCTCTTTCATATCGCCTTCTTACTCGTCATTGTGGCCTAGTGGTTACATATGGTACTCGACTGCATACCTGAAGGTCGCGAGGTCGAATCCCGGCGGTAGCGGCCACGTTTTCGATGGAGGCGAAAATCCTTGAGGCCAGTGTACTTATATTTAGTTTGACGTTAAAGAACCTCAGGTAGCCGAAATATCCGGAGCCCTTCACTGTATACCACGTCACTCATAATCATATCGAGGTTTCGGGATGTTAAACCCCTTCTATTATCACCATGCTGGACCTTTGATTTCATCACCATTGATACACTTACGTATCACTTTGCGACTCTCCTTTCCCGAAATTCGCCGCTCAACCTTGTCTCTTTTTTCTTTTTATTCCAGTTATAGATGTAGCTTCCGTGACTACACTTTTCGACCCCCAGCTCACCGCCTAAAATGTGTTCTGGACCATCAACGCCTCACTCGAGCGGCGATTGTCGCAGCCACTCACTGGAGAGGACGCTTTCTCCCATCATTCGAGCTGAATGCCACGCACTTGCGCCACAGAACTGAGCTGATGAGATGCGCCCAACCATATATGCTCAGCTGCGGTAGATATCGCCACCGATCTCGCAAGCGCGACCGTCTCGTCCGCTGTTTTCACTTGTGCGCTGATGACGGCAGTCCCTCAAGGATCAAGCCGTAGATTCGGTTGCAGCATAAGAATAAACCCTAGCTCTACCTACAAAAACGCGACGCGCCTGTTCTTCACCTCCATACTGGAGTCGTATCAGCTGATTCCCGTTCGAACAGCGAGTACTTTCTCTTCGCTAATGTAAACACTGTACTATGCCGGAAAATAAACGTTTGTTTCTAGCGTCCAAAATATAACTTTTGGCTTAAAATTGATGGCAAAGTATCGGAATAAATTTTGTCGGGACATTGGCATTTTCGTTCCAAATGCAGTGACACAAATGTGTATATTTGTGCTGAAATTCGTCGAAGAATTGCTCGACATAACGTCAACTGGTGAACATAGTTTAATAGAGCATGCATGCATGAATATTTTTTGTTACGTATATAGCATGGTCATAGATGTGAGCGCAGCTTCTATTTTTGTTACGATTCTTAGAGTTTTGTTACGTCTTAACTCCCACGTGTAATGCTGTACAATGTTTTTTTTTCTGAAAACCAATACTCTTATCAATGGACACTCATACGAAGGTGAAGAATATTCTTCCCTTTGTCGCAATGTCGTTTAAGCAGAGGATACGGAAATTTTAGACGCTTCCTTCTGAGGACTGTAATAATGAAAGCGCTTCTGTTTTTTTTCCCCGAAACCGAGCACTATAGCTTAAAAAAAGAGCAGCAGTATAACTTAAATAAAAAGGATCCATATATAATACAGGGCTCTAGATTTAGGGCCACCATCCTGGTGTGTTTTTTTAATGCGAAAAGGTAACAAACAAATAAACAACGAAACAGCGGAACTGTTCAGCCACGTTCAGCTGTCGCGGTTGGTCAGTGGTCAAGGTGGTCAGCTCATGGCCCAAAAGACGTCGGTTC